CTTTTTTCTTTTTGCTTATGTGGTGCTGAGGAATCGAACCCAGGGTCTCATGCATGCAAGGCAAGCACTCTACCACTGAGCCACCTTCCCAGCCCAAACATTAGTATTTCTAGAAAAATAAAAAGAACTTTTTGTTCCAGACTGTTTAATTAGTTCTAAAAAGAATTATAAACCAGGTGCCAGTGGCTTCTGACTATAATCCTGAACTACTTAGGAGGGTGATATCTGAGGATCTCAGTTTGAAGCCAGCCCAGGGGGAAAAGTTCATGATACTCTTTCTTACCCCCAATTAACCAGCAAAAAGCTGGAAGTGAAACTATGACTCAAATGGTAGAGCGCTAGGTCTTAAGTGAAAAAGCTAAGAAACAGCACATAGGCCGAGTTCAAGTCCCAGGTGCACATGCACGCCATGTGTACGTACATACACACACACTTACAACAACTTAAAACATACCTCCTTTTCCAAAAGTTCATTATGTACCAAGCAAGCCCGTTTGTAGTTAAAATTTGTAACTGAGGTTTGTTCAAGGTAAGATGAATGGAGAATATTTAAAACATCTTCAAATTCTCGAGAACCTTGAGTTAATAGCTGAAAAAGTGCTAAAAATAAAAGAAAACATTATTAGTTATAGGATTATTCCATCCTAAGGGTAGGTCCTTCTATTACAAAGGTCTAGTAAATTAAAGTGAAAAAGGGGATTAAGATATTTTATTTTGTGACATGTTATATATATTTCGTATACTACAGAGCGAGCCATGTCTCAGAAAACTCAAACACCAGACTCTGGTGGCTCATGCCTATAATCCTAGAAGGCAGAGATCAGAGTTTCAGTTCAACACCAGCCCAAGAAGAAAAGTCCATAAGACTCCATATCTAAGTGGCTAGCCAAATGCCAAGACTGGAGGTGTGGCTCAAGTAGTAGAGTACCAGCTATGAGTAAGCAAGCAGAATAAGAGGCCCTGAGTCTAAGCCTTGGTACTGACACACACACACACAACCAGTTTTCACTATAGACAGAACAACTCATAGAAACTGTATTATGATTATTATCTTCATTTTTATTTCTTTTCTGCCAGTACTGGGGCTTAAACTCAGATCCTGGATGGTGTCCCTAAGCTTTTTGCTCAAGGCTGGTGCTTTTCCACTTGAGTCACAGCTTTATTTCCAACTTAGTTACTAGTCTCAGGGAATTTCCTGCCCTGATTGCTTCAAGCCATGATCTTCAAATCTCAGCCTTCTGAGTAGCTGGGATTATAGCTGTGAGCCAGGGGAACCTAGCTTATCTTCGAGTATAGATATATCTATATCTATAGATATATCGATATATATATAGCTATATATCTATATATATCTACAACAACAAATGCCAATTTAGATACTCTTAGGTCACTAAGGAAACTATCATTCTACTTGTACCTACTCTTAAAATATACCATCTGGCAACTAATTATAAATAGGCTATTTAATATATTTTCTTTACATAGCAATTAGGCTTTAAAAGATATGATGTTGCGGGACATCAGTGGCTAATACCTGTAATCCTAGCTACTCAGGAGGCTGAGATCTGATCTTTTCAGTTCAAAGCCAGCCCATACAGGAAGTTTGTGACTCTTATCTCCGTTTAATTACCAAAAAAGCCAGAAATGATGCTGTGGCTCAAAGTAGTAGAGCACAAGCATTGAGTCAAAAAGATTAACAACAATGTCCAGGCAGAGTTCAAGCCCCAGGACTGGCACCAAAAAAAAAAAGCACTATAAAATGATATAACCATTTTCAACAAACCACATGTATATTACAGAACTGTATAAAAAAATAGTTTTCAGTTACAGAATGTAATTACAGAATGTATATAAAAATCCATGGGTAGGCCAGGGACCAGTGGCTCACACCTGTAATCCTAGCTACTCAGGAAGCTAAGACCTGAGGATCGAAGTTCAAAGCCAGCCTGGGCAGGAAAGTTTGTGAGACTCTTATCTCCAACAAAACACTCAGAAAACCGGAAGCAGTGCTGTGGCTCAAGTGGTAGAGTGCTAGCCTTGATCTGAAGAGCTGAAGGACAGCACCCAAGCCCAGAGTTCAAGCCCCATGACCGACAGTGGTTACTCTGGGACTGTACACATGCAAATGTCCCAAAAAAGTTGACCTAGTTACAGAAGTGCAATTTTTTTTTTAAGATGAGGGAGAAAGATGGAAAGGGTGACATTGATCAAGATGAATTGTACAGGGCTGAGAAGGTGGCTCAGTGGTAGAGAGCTTGCCTTGCATGCATAAAGCACCTGGGTTTGATTCCTCAGCACCACATAAGCAGAAAAAGCCGAAAATGGTGGTAAAGTGCTAGTCTTGAGTTGAAGAGCTCAGGGATAGTGTCCAGGCCCACAATTTAGATCCCATGAATGAGGAAAAAAAAAAGATGGTACTTATAATTTGTAGATGCATTCATAATCAATTGTAAACTATCTGAAAGCAGGAATACCTTACTCTTTTTTCTCATATGCCAGTAGGGTGAATGGTGAGTGCTAATTCTAAGTTGATTGAAACTAGTGAAAAGATGAGAATAAATATCACAAAGTTTTTAGGGTTTTATGAGTCATGTTTAGTCTTGCTGTATGTAGTCCAGGCTAGTCTCAAAGTCTCCTGCCTCAGCCTTCTGAGGGTTGAGACTGCAGACACAAACCACCATGCCAAGCTTAAGACATACATAATAGGCTGGGAAGGTGGCTCAGTGGTAGAGTGCTTGCCTTGCATGCATGAGGCTCTGAGTTCGATTCCCTAGCACCACATAAGCAAAAAGAAAAAAGCCAGAAGTGGCGCTGTGGCTCAAGAGCTGAAGAGCTGAGGGACAGCTCCCAGGTCCAGAATTCAGGCCCAATGACTGGACCCCCCCCCAAAAAAAAAAGACATACATAATACATTTGTGTATGTGCCCATCTTGAACTCAGGGTCTGGGAACTGTCCTAGAGCTCTGGGCATGGGCACTGTCCCTCAGCTCTTCAGCTCAAGGCTAATGCTCTACTACTTGAGCCACAGCACCACTTCCGGTTTTCAGGTGGTTTATTGGAGTTAAGAGTCTCTCAGACTTTCCTGCCCGGGCTGGTTTTGAGCCATGATCCTCAGATCTCAGTCTCCTGAGTAGCTAGGATTACAGGCCAAAGCCACTTGTGCCCGGCTTTGTCCCTGAGCTTTTTTGCTCAAGGAGAGTGTTCTACCACTTGAGCCACAGCTCTACTTCTGCTCTTTTTTTTTTTTTTTTTGCTCAGGCTGTCTTCGAACTTCAATCCTCTAGTCTCAGCCTCCTGAGTTGCTAGGATTATAGGCATGAGATCTAAGTGCCCACCTCCTAAGATGTATTTTCATATTAAATACAATCTACAATTGTCAAAATGAGTGTCCCTTTAGTCTCATTTACTGATTCAATAACTTACTAATATATAAAGCAAAATAAAAGCCGGGCCCTGGTGGCTCATGCCTGTAATCCTAGCTACTCAGAAGCCTGAGATCTGAGAATCACGGTTCAAAGCCAGCCCGGGCAGGAGAGACCATGAGACTCCTATCTCCAATAAACCACCAGAAAACCGGAAGTGGCGCTGTAGCTCAAGTGGTAGAGCGCTCACCTTGAGCTGAAGAGCTGAGGGACA